TTATTTATAAAGAATCACAAACCAAGTGGTTAGTTTGTAGTCAGATAATTTTGCTTTATTTAAACTGCTGCTCAAATACTGAAGAAAAAGTTTTTTTTGCCTTCGCCATTGTATGCATTTAAACTGAAAACTCCTATTGTTTTGATATATGAAGACTTCAATCATCAATTTCTTAAATAAAAAATTAAATAAGTCTTTCTTTTTTTTTTTGGCCAGTTACCACAAGGCTTTACTGAACCAGAACAGATATGAAAAAGCTAGAAGAATAGTCATTCTTTATAATTCTTGTATTAAAATTGCTGGATATTCCAGTTCTAGCTGTACCCTGTAAATTTCAAAAAGTAACACTGCTCCCAATCCAACCCATACTTCAAAATCAAGACCTATCCACCCTGAAATCTGCAGGGATATCTAATTGTTGTTTGGTTAGGCAAACAGAAGGGTGGGTGATGTTTGGCGTGGGATGGAGCTCCATTATTCTACAGAGAACACTCACAACCTTTGCTCTAAATAAAATAAAATAAAAACTTATCTGATATTTCTATTACTATAATCACAAGGTTCAACCTTCCTTTTCAGTTTTGCCAAATAGTGGTAGCATATCTATGCCTCGGGTTATTCACTGTGTCAGCTGTTTGGAATGAGTCAATGTCAGCAAAACACATGCCCTAAATCCTGGTACTCTGTGAATACCATCGCATGTGAAATGTCTGATCCTACACGCTAAAATATAAGGAAATTATCCAACATGGTGGCATGACCACTTGCACCACATTAAAAGTGTCAATAGCTGCTATGCTGCAGCTTGGTGGTAAAAATGCATATTTATGATTAGAGTGAATAGGTGCTCGGATGTCGCTCTGTCGGCTTATTAGTATATGAATCAATTACAGGAAAGAGGGTAGGACATCACTGAATCATGGCATAACATGTTTACAGAAAGGAACCCATGCTCAAGAAGAACAGCTTACCTTCGTAACCACGTTCTGTCCAAGCCCTGTGTGCAGCTCGAATGTCGACTCATTGTACTGACACTGCAAGCTGTCATTGTGGGCGCTGGGACCCCCACCGGCAGAAAGAGCTGGCCCGGTGCTTATGTTCATCTGGAGGTTCGCAGTGTGCCTAGTTCCGTTAGCCAGGGGCTGGCTGGTGCATGTGATGTTTGGCTCCGCGAGAAGAAAATTGTCAGAAAATTGGCTGAATCCGATAAATAACGCCGGGATCCATGTCAGCACGATCAGCTGTTTCTGGTATTTCCCAAACCCCCCGAGAGAAGGCAGGACAGACTTGTCGATGTGAGTCAGCAGCTCCGGAGACGCGGTTTCGGGGGTCACGAAGCCGTTCTCCGGCTGGCGGTCCCCCGTTTCGAGCTGCACCACGGCCATCGCGGTGGTTACGCCGATAGATGCTTCCGATGTGTGGCGAAGCCGGGGGTTTGCAGTGCTCGCCCCCTCCCTGTTGTCGACTCCACAATGCGTCAATGCCCGCAGCTCTTGGCGGTGGAAGCCGTACGCAGTCAATCACTGGGATGGAAATAAGACGCACCTCCTCATTATCAGGAAGCACTTCCCTCTTTCGGTCAGTCTGCCGCCTAAAAAAAAAATATATACCCCGTGAGGGACACGTTAGCAGACCTATAGGCTCCCAAATATAAAGCGGATTTCAATTAGGTAATGGCGATTTTTTTTTCCATCGTTCCGCCCAACGAGTTTCTACTTCTCAGTTGCAGCAGACTGAGTGAAGCGAAGTGTTTCCTGTTGGAGTCACAGGTAAACACACCTGCCCAAAGGTAGACTCCTACTGACTCTGACATGGCCACCTGTAAGAACAGACAGCAGAAAACAAAGTCTGTAATATTCCGTTCCTCTTTTTTTATAGCCACATTCAATCTAACAGATAATTTTTTAAATAAATATACTTACTACATAAATATATACATAAAAATAAAACAGGGCTTACAATAACAATTTAGAATGCCGTCAGTCGACTAAACATTTTTTATCACATTAATCGCGCTCCAGAGAGAGCTTTACTAGTTCGATTAATCTGAACTTTGCAACAGCAACACGTTAAAGTACTCGCACGCCTACAAGCGTCAAAATTGTCAGCCCTGGGATAAGACGCATTCAGGGAATACGCGAACGAGAAGGAGGATGTTGTAATAACTCCGCCCATTCAGCAAACAAGAATATTGGCTCCGGGGTTAACAGAGAACGACAGAACTATCTGAGTAATCACATCAGGAAAAACGATACCACAAGCAAACAGTAAACGGGAAAGTTTACTTCTCAAATTGGTAAAGCTATTCGCTCACTCAACTAGCCTATTGTTTTATACATTGAGAGAAGCAACTGCCGTTTTTATTTTTGTTTTATTCAGCTTATTTCATACTTGGTAGGCAACATTTAAGTTGAAGTTGAACAATTAGAACTGAATATAAAGTGATGTACAACTTGATGTTTTTAAATATATTATGCTAGAATAATACATTTTAGAGAGGATATCCTGCCCCAAGTGGAGGAGTTTAAGAATCTCTGGATCTTGTTCACGAATGAGGGGGAAATGGAAGGGGAGATCGACAGGCGGATTGTGTTGTGGCGACGAGAGACCTGAGTCAGAAAACAGATTTACCGGTCGATCTACATTCCTACCCTCATGTGTTGTCATAAGCTTTGGGTCATGACTGAAAGAATGAGGTCACGAATACAGGCATACAATGAGTATTATCCGCAGGGTGTCTGAGCTCTCCCTTAAAGATGGGGTGAGAAGCTAAATCTTCCTGGAGGGACTCAGAGTAGAGCTGCTGCTCCTTCACGTCGAGGGAGCCAGTTGAGGTGGCTCGGGCATCTGGTTAGGATGGCTCCTGGACGCCTCTCTGGTGAGGTGTTCCAGGCACGTCGAACCAAGAGGAGGCCCTGGGGAAGACCCAGGACATCCTGGAGGGACTATGTTTCTCTGCTGGCCTGGGAACGCCTTGGGGTTCCCCCGGAGGAGCTGGACTAATTGGCTGGGGAGAGGGAAGTCTACTACATCTGCAACCCGACTCCGGATAAGCGGAAGAAGATGGATGGATGGATGGATGGATGGATAATACATTTTAATTTAATTTTAAGTGTATTTTGAATGTTATACTTGAACGTGCATTAAAATATAACATATTCTAAATATATTAAATCTCTTTCCATAAAATTTTATAAATATTTTAAGAATTAGTATAAGAGCCTCATTAATTGAAAAAAATATATATTGTGTATATCAGTTGCATGCAATGTGGTAAGAGACTATGCTACTTCTAATATATATATATATATATATATATATATATATATATATATATATATATATATATATATATATATATAAAGAATAAATAAATAAAATATT